CCCGCCGTCTACAGGCGAACTTCCTCCGCGTGTCTCCCCACATCTCCCCACACCTCCCCACACCTCCCCCACACCTCCCCACATCTCCCCACATCTCCCCACATCTCCCCACATCTCCCCACATCTCCCCACATCTCCCCCACATCTCCCCACATCTCCCCACACCTCCCCACATCTCCCCACATCTCCCCACATCTCCCCACATCTCCCCACATCTCCCCACATCTCCCCACAGGCGGGCCGCCAGACGCAGGCTTTGGCGGCTTCGCGGGCGGCGGCGCCCCCGCCCCGCCGCCGTACGCAAAGCCGGTGAAGAAGGGGACGGGCATGCAGCTGGGCGCGAAAAAGGGGCTCGGCGGCGCGTCGCTGCTGCAGGCGATGGCGCAGGAGGGCGAGATCGCCGACTTGGGAGCGCCGCCGCCGGGCGCCGCTGTTGGCGCCGCGGGCGCCGCCGCCGCCGCCGCCCAGTCGAATGCGCCGGTGCAGCTGCTGCTGGAGGAGAAGCTGACGCTGTCCGTGCAGCGGGACGGGGGGCTGCAGAGCATGGAGGTGTCTGGCGGGCTGCAGCTGCTCATCACCGACCCCTCGTGCGACAAGGTGTACGTGCAGCTCGGCCTCGGCAGCAACCCGGGCTACCAGTTCAAGACGCGCCCAGACACCAGTCACGGAAGGAAGTCATCCCTCAACAGTGAGGAAGGACTGCCATGAGGAATGAACTAGGCACCCAAACATCGACAAGGCAAAGTACAGCGCGCAGGCCGTCCTTATACCGCACCACCCACGGGACTGAACCCACACTGGATTCGATACTCTGGAGGTATGGTACGCAGGCCGTCCTCGGGCTGCGCGACGCCTCGCGCGCATTCCCCGCAAACTCCGCGCTCGGCGTGCTCAAGTGGCGTTTCCTCACGACGGAGGACTCGCACGCGCCGCTGCTGCTCACGTGCTGGCGCGCCTAACCCTCCCCTTCCCCCACGGTACCCGGAAACACCCTCCCCTACCCCACGGTACCCGAACCCACCTGCCCACGTGCTGGCCCGCGCGGCCCTAGCGGCTGACAGCGAGCCACCTGTGCTCCAGCTAGCACAGGAGAAGACGCGTCTCCGGCTGTGCTCGCTGTTACAGCCACCTCCCCTGTATTCGCACGTGCACATGCACATGCACGTGCACATGCACATGCACATGCACATGCACATGCGCCGCACAGTCGAGTGCCTCCCGCCACCCCCGCCCACAAACTTAGTGCGCGTGGTGGGTGGGCCGCCTTCTCGTGGTGGTCGGCAAGGCCGTGGCCAGTGCGCAGTGCCCCTGCCCCCACCCTCGGCTGCCTTTCTCCATACGTTAGGCCGACGGCGACGGGCGACACGTTCGAGGTGACCCTCGAGTACGAGCTCCAGGGCGAGCGCGAGCTGCGCGACGTGCGCATCGCCATCCCGCTCGGCTGCCCGCCGACGTCGCAGCAGACCGAGCTCGGCGACGTGTCGTACGACGCGCGCGCAAAGGCGCTGGTGTGGGCCATCTCGGGGAATCTCGGGGGATCTCGGGTGATCTCGGGTAATCTCGGGTAGGCGCTGGTGTGGCACATTCCGATCGTCGACGCCTCCAACGCGTCGGCAAACATGGAGTTCGTCGCGCCCGCCGCATCGGCAAGACGCCCCCTTCCCCCTCTCCCCGCGGGCGGCCTCTCGCACGGAGCCTCTCGGAGCGGTCTGTAGGCGGACGCATTCTTCCCCATCGACGTCGCCTTCTCGTCGCCAAAGACCCTGTGCGAGCTCGAAGTCACGGGCGTCCATCTCGCAGACGGGTCCGGCGCCGCGCCCTACTCGACGGCGGGCGGCATGGTGGTCGATTCGTACACCGTGGTCTGAGCCGGCGCCCTAGGCCGCAGCAGTAGAAGGCGCTTGCCACTGCGGAGCGCCAGCTGTTTGCGGAGATGGGGAGAAACCATGAGCAGTCGCCGCGCGCACCTCAGAGACGAGCGAGTAGGGCTGCGGGGGTGTGACACTGTCAGAGGCAGCTGTCAGGCCCGGTGTGGAGGCGCGGCCCAACGCGCAGCGCCGGCGGGGGTGCGCCGTTTTATATGAGAACGCTGAAAACGAATTTGAGAGCGCATCGACGAACGAGAGAGTCTGTCGAGAGCACTGGAGTGCGGCTTGATCCTGCTCGCGCATGCGGCGCACACCACCCCACACGCCCACAGCCACACATATACACGTTCACGTACACGTCGTTTAACGGCGTTACTCTCGCACACACCGGTCACCGCACACTCCAGACAAGCCACCCTCTTGTCACTCGGCGTGCTCGATGACAGCGCGGATCTCCTCCACCTTGTCGCGCAGCTCTGCGTCCTGCCCACTAGTGCCCGGCTGGCCCACGATGCCGTCGGCGATGCGCCGCACCGTCTCGACGAAGGCGATCCGCTCTGCCGGCTGAAGCTCGTCCAAGACCTGCGCAAGCGAGGCGGTCGGCGGGTGCAGACTAGTCCCGGCCTCCCGAACCGGCCTCGGCCCTCCCCAGCACCCTGCCTAGCCCTCCCTCCCTCCCTCCCCCCACCCACCCACCGCTCCCTTCCTACGCCGCCTCCTTGAGCGTTAGCTCCCGCCGCGAAGCCGGCGACGCCAGCGAGCAAATGTACCGCACCTGCTCGGATGTAGGACATGTGTGCGTCGGGAGGTTGCTGTCTCGGAATGGCTCGAACGGGTTCTCGTCGGAGGCATCTCAAAGGCTCGGAGGTTGCTTAGATTTGCTCCGAGCTCCCAAGTGTGTCTCAGAAATGCTCGGAGGGGTGTGTCTCGCTAGAGAGTCAGGTACGACGCCTGCTTGATGTCGTCGTCGCGCTCCCTCGCCAGCATCGAGTACACACCCTGCTTCACCAGCCGCAGCACCTAGCACCACACCCCTCCGTGAGGCGCATCCGCGACTAGCCGCTCGCAGCGGAGCCGCGGCCGCACCAGCAGCCACTGCTGCCCCTCCACACCGCCGCTGCCCGCCGCTCCGCCGCCGCCTCCGCCCTCGACCTCAGCCTCGGACGCCTTGCGGGCGGCGGCGGCACGGCCCGCCTCGGCGAGCGCCGCCTGGAGAGACGGCGCGGCGAGGGGGTGAGGGCCGCCGGGAAAGGGGGCGGCGGCGGCGGCGTCACGGCGCGCCGAGGTGCCCGGCCAAGCGAGCGCCTCCCCCTCCCCCTCCTCGCCCTCCTCACCCGCCCCCTCCCCGGCCGGCAGCGCGCCGCCGCCGTCGGCCGCCGCCGCGAGCGCCTCCCACCTCCGGTCCTCCTCGAGGGGCTGGATGCCCCGCGCGCGCAGCCGCGCCTGCGAAGGGGAGGCGGGAGGCTGGAAGGGGAAGGGGAGCGGGGCGGCGAGTGCGAGGGAGGGCGGCGTCCGGCAGGGGGGTAAGTGTGGGGTGGGTGAGTGTGCTCCGGCGCCTCCTCCTCCTCGAGGGCGCAGTTGAGGCAGTTGCAAAAGTCGGCGTCGAGCTCGCCGCGCATCGCCTCGGCCGTCGCCTGCCAAGCAGAGCGGCCCGCCCGTGAGTGGGCGCCTCCTCGCTCTCGCCCGGACCCACCCGCGCAGCCCGCCTTGAGCATCTCGCTGCCGCCGTCCACCGCAGCATCGCACAGCTCGCGAAGCTTGTTGAGCTGCTGCCACTGCAGGTCGACGGCGCTGTCGGCGAGCTGCTCGACGGCGCCGATGACGTACTGGTTCAGCTCGAGCAGAGCGCGCTGCTGCACTGGCGTCGTCACCTGCCCGAGCGCCTGCCGCATCAGGCCCGGAAACTCGGGCCGCATCAGCAGCGGCAGCTGCGTCGCGAGCCGGCGGTCGAGCTCGGCAGTGTCGAGCGCGGCTGCGTCGTCGCCCGCCTCGCGGAGCAGACCCGTCAGCTCGCCGACGCTCGTGGTGATGGCCTGCGCCTGCGCTCGCATCAGGTCGGCCGGTGCTGCTGGCTGGCGGAGGTCACGCTGGATCTGATGCTTTGAAAGCTCGAGCGCGTCCATCGCGGGCGGCGGGAAGCGTGGAAGTGTCCGAACAGGGAGCTGGGCCGCCGCCGCGGGAGAGAAGGCGGGGTAGGGCGTCAAGAACACGACGAGGGCAGTCATCGTAACGCGGTTCGGTCGTTCGGTCGGAGTGCTTCTTCTCTACCCCCGCCCTCGCCGTCGCCCTCGCCACCTCTTGCAGAGTGTGGCAGCTATGGGACTTAGGCGACAAAACAAAAACGCCGCCGAAGTGCGCATCTTGCGCGCGTTTGTTGATGTTTTCGGCGTCGCCCGCCACCGCCGCCATGGAGATCTGCTGCGTGTGGTGGACGACGAAGGAGGAGGCGCTCGCCGACGCCGCCCCGTACACCGTCCGGTCCGTGTTGGTGCCCGCCGCTTCCTTGGCGAACACGTGGAGGAACTGCTTGGTGGGCGGCGCAATGCCACCCAAAGTTTCACGAGCACCAGCCGCGTTATGGCTTTCTTGACCCACTTCGCGTCGTAGTACTGCGCCCAAATCCACTTGCAGCCTGCATTCTTCTTGACCCATCCGTCTCCATACAGCGTGGTCTTTGACCCATCCCTTTCCAGTCGAGTGGTCGAGCGGTCCGTCCACCTGACGGCCTCGGCCACGCTCCTTCGCTTGCACCCCACGACCGCCGTCAACGCCTTGTCCAGCGTGTTTCCAAACCCGTACAGAGGTTGGCCCACCGACGCCACATTGGTCATTGCCACCATTGAGCATTGTCCCACGAGCCCCTCCCCGACGTCGTCGATCGACTTGAGAGAGAGAGAGATTTTCAATACCAAACAACTCTAACACTCACACGTTTCGACTTGATGAGCGGGTAATCTAAACGCGGAAGAGCCACGTACTTAAAATCCCTGTGTGGTGGCGGCGACCGGCGTGCCGTCCTCCCATCCCTTCCCTTGGGTTGTCGGTTTTCTTTCTTTCTTTCTCGTGAGAGCCACCTCGTGAGCTGTCCTGTGAGCTGTGTGCTGTGTGTTCAGCAGTCCGGACCCGGTGCTACGGGCCTACGGCCTAGACGTACGGCCGGTGACAGTGTGCCTGTGTGCCTCGTTCGTGTCGGCTCCCGAGCCAATCGTGTGGAGCGTGTGTGTGCGTGTGGGCCCGTCCTCCATGCTAGGAGGTGTGTAACACTGACTGACTCACACATACGATTTCCGTTGCCCTTCGAAAATCCCGCGGTTCTAACTGCCATGTCGGCCGGTCGTCGGCTGCTGCTCTCGCCTCGCTGGCGGCGCGGTCTGGTGCCGCGGCGCCCATCTCTCCTGTGGGCTCGCGGCGGCTCGCCGCCGTGAATCTGAACAATAGAATCAATCCGGATTCGTCCCGGCGTGCCGCCAGTGCCGCTTCCTCGCCGATTTTTGGCTCATCCAGTTAGTCGACAAAGTTGCCCTGGAGCTGCTGCCGCTCGACTGCGCGGCGGAACCGGCCCTTCGCGGCCGAGATGCGATGCGCCGACGCCGGGGCTACGGCTCGGGACCATTTCCAGGCTGTCTCGGGCAAGTAGGGGCCGAGATTCTTACAGCGGCGCGTACGTTTCTTTTTGTTCTGTGTGTGCGCCCCTCCATGATGCGTGGGGCGGGCGGCGCTTCCTCGGGCGCGGCAGCGGCAGCGGTGGACGCGCCGCTGCTCGGGCGGCGAGTCGTGCTCGGCGGGCTCTCTTCCTGCCCCGAGCTCAACGGGCAGCGGGGCGTGGCGCGGAGCTTCGAGGGCGGGCGGTACGCTGTGGCGCTCGAGGGCGGCGGCGAGAGTGTGCGAGTGCGGCCGGGTAATCTGTCGCCAGTGGCGGCGGAGCGGGCGTCGAGCGGTGGCGTGAGAGTCTCCGATGAGGTCGTGGCAGCAGCTGAGCGAGGCGAGGAGGAGGCGGTGCTGGCGTGGCTTGAGGGCGGGGGGCGGGCCGACGCGACGTACGAGAGAGGCAAGGTGAGCGGCGTCACGCTGCTGATGGCCGCCGCCAACCACGGCCACGAGCGGGTGGTTGAGTTGCTGCTGCAGCACGGCGCGGAGGTCAACCTGCCGAACAGCAATGGCTACACCGCGCTGATGCACGCCTCCCTCCACGGCCATGAGCGGTTGGTCGAGCTTCTGATTCGGCACGGCGCTGAGATCAACCTGCAGAGCAGCGACGGCTCCACCGCGCTCAGGTTCGCCGCCCGCAACGGATGCGAGCGGGTGGTCGACCTGCTGATTCGGCACGGGGCAGAGGTTGACTTGCAGGACAGCGAGGGCCGCACCGCGCTGATCTACGCCGCCTTCTTCAACCACCCCGCCGTCGTGCGCCGCTTGCTTCGGGCGGGCGCAGATGCGACGGCGCGCAGAGCGAGCAAGACGGCGCTTCAGTGGGCCAAGGAGAAGGGCCACGCCGAGTGCGTAAAGGTCTTGGCTGAGGCGGAGGCGGCTGCAGACGGCCGGGCAGGGGCGGGCGGCGCTTCCTTGGGCGCGGCAGCAGCAGCGGTGGACGCGCCGCTGCTCGGCCAGCGAGTCGTGCTCGGCGGGCTCTCTTCCCGTCCCGAGCTGAACGGGCAGCGGGGCGTGGCGCAGAGCTTCGAGGGCGGGCGGTACGCGGTGGCGCTCGAGGGCGGCGGCGAGAGCGTGCGAGTGCGGCCCGGTAATCTGTCGCCAGTGGCGGCGGAGCGGGCGTCGAGCGGTGGCGTGAGAGTCTCCGATGAGGTCGTGGCAGCGGCTGAGCGAGGCGAGGAGGAGGCGGTGCTGGCGTGGCTTGAGGGTGGTGGGCGGGCCGACGCGACGTACGAGAGAGACGGCGTGAGCGGCGTCACGCTGCTGATGCGCGCCGCCCAGGAAGGCCACGAGCGGGTGGTCGAGCTGCTGCTGCAGCACGGCGCTGAGGTCAACCTGCAGGACAGCGACGGCTTCACCGCGCTGATGGCTGCCGCCCAGGAAGGCCATGAGCGGGTGGTCGAGCTACTGATACGGCGCGGCGTGGAGATCAACCTGCAGGACAGCCAGGGCGGCACCGCGCTGATGTACGCCGCCCTCTTCAACCACCTCGCCGTCGTGCGGCGTTTGTTGCAGGCAGGCGCAGACACGGCGGCGCGCGTTGCGAACGGCAAGACAGCGCTGCAGATGGCCAAGGAGCAAGGCCACGCCGCATGCGTGCGCGCCCTCGGGGAGCATGCGGCGGCGGCGGCGGCGGCTGAGAAGGCGGCGAAGGAGGCGGCGTGGGTTGCGGGGGCGGAGGCGAGGGAGGCGGAGAGAGCGGCGGCAGAGGCGACTGCGGCGCGGCATGCCGAGGCGCTGCTGGCGGAGGAGGAGGCGGAGAAGGAGGGGCGCGCCAGGGAGAGCAAGAAGGGCAAGAAGAAGAAGAAGAAGAGCGGCGGCGGCGAGGCAGACAACGCGGCGCCTGGCCCCAGCGCCACCGCCGCTCTGTCGCCGCCAACCCCACCGCCAGCCCCATCTCCTCCGCCCGCCGACGCAGCCGCCATCGCCGCGGCGGACGAGGCGCTGCAGCAGGCCGTGGCCGCTGGCTCGTACGAGGGCGTGGCCAGCGCGCTGGAGGCGTGCAGCGGCCTCGCGAGCCCGGCCGTGCTGGCGGCGGCGAGGCGCGCGCGCGACAAGCTGAAGGAGGCGCGGAGGCGGGACAGCCAGCGGCTGCGCAAGGCGCATGGCGCGGCGATGGGCGCGCTCAAGTCGCTCGACACAGCAGACAGCCCCTCCGCGCTCCGAGCGGGCATCGCTGCCGCCAGACCGCACGTGGGCGCGCTGCCTGCCTTGGCCGAGGAGGTGAGCGCGGCGGAGTCGAAGCTGGAAACTCTGTCTGTCGCCGAGCCGGCCGCGGCGGAAGAGGCGGCTGTTGCCCGGCCCGTCGAGCTAGCCCTGTCGGACCTCACCGCGGCTACCGACGGGTTCGCCGACGGGAAGCTGATTGGCAGCGGCGGCTTCAGCCACGTCTACGAGGCGTCGGCCGACCTCCACCTCTCCCTCGCCGCGCCTCCGCAGCTGCGCCACTTGCCGCTCGTCGTCAAGCGGGCAAAGTCGGGCCAGTCGGGCGGCTTGTCGCGGGCGGAGCTCGAGGTCAAGCTTCTCAAGGCGGTGAGCCACCCGCACTTGCTGCCGCTGCTCGGCTACTGCCTCTCGCCCGACGGCGTCTGCCTCCTCTCGCCGCTGATGCGCGGCGGCTCGCTCGAGGCGCGGCTGCGTATCTCGGATCCCGACCGTGCTGCGCAGCTCCGGCGGCTGGGGATGGTAGAGCCGCCGAGGCCGCTGACGTGGCGGCAGCGCGTTCGCATTGCTTGCGAGGCGACCGAGGCGCTCGTCTACCTCCACTCAAAGGATATCGTGCACCGCGACGTCAAGCCGGACAACATCCTGCTCGACGAGAAGCTGACCGCCGTGCTCGCCGACACGGGCTTCGCCAAGGACCAGCGTCCCGACGCCTCTGTCCGCTACCGCTCGACTGCCCTCTACATGTCCACTGGCTACCTCTGCCCCTCTATCTCCAAGGGGGGCGAGTATTCGAGCAAGACCGACGGCTACGCCATTGGCATCACCCTCCTCGTCTGCCTCACCAGCCGCTCCGAGGTGCAGCTGACCGACCGGTGCGAGGACGAGTTTGACGGACTCTGGACCAACATCGACGCGTCCCAGATCGCAGACGCGGCGGCGGGGTGGCCTGAGACGGCGGCGCGCGCTGTCAAGGACCTCGCCAAGGCGGGAGACGGGCAGAAGAGTCTCTGTCACGACAGCTTGCGCAACCGCTGCACGCTGCCCGTGGCTCTCACGACGCTCCGGGGGCTGCTGTCTGGCGCGCAGGGCGGGGCGGGGGTGGAGGAGGCTGCGCCGGCACCTGGAGACGAGGCCGCTGCGGCAGCCGCCCGCACCACCGGGTACGAGCCTTCGCCGCTCTCGGTGCAGGTGCGCGGCATGCGCACGTCCGGCGACGCGCAGGCGCGAATCCAGGACAACATGCTGCTCGCCTTCAAGACGCTGATGCCACGCCTCGACGCTGCTTACGCCTCGCGCTCTGCGGCGGCGCCCGAAGGCTTCGAGGAGCGCATCAACTTTTGGCACCGCGAGTGCGGCCTGCCGACCGAGCTGCGGAGCCAGCTGCACTCGCTGCGCATCTGGGCGAACGCGGCGAGGCACCACGACGCGGCGAGGTGGAGGAGGGACGGGCCGCGCAGCGAGCGGGAGGCGTCGCGGCTCGTGGCGGCGGCGACGGAGGCGATCGGGGCGCTCGAGGGGTAAAATATTTGTGTATACGAAGTACGAGACTCGAGGTAACGAGGTACTCATATGAATTATGATACACCGTCGATGTGTAAAAGCTAGCCCCCTTCAGAGAAAAGAGAGCCGCTCTCTCGCTTCACTCTGGCGCTCTGCCCGCCACGACGGCGCGTCTAACGTATATGCCCAGTGCTCAAAAACTTTACCGGTATGGGAGTTTTTGGCTAATCAAACCCAAGGCCTGCACTAATCAAAAAGTGGTACGGGATACCAGTCCTACCAGTTGCCTCACGGAAATCAAAGCGAGTCGGAGTGCCTTCTTGGTGGCAAAATCGGCAAAATCGGCAAAATACCGGGTATTTTGCGGGTACCTGGAAAAACCCGGGTATACCCGGGTAATACCCGCACTTTTGCATGGTTTCGCCCCCGGGACCACACCGACAGCCGCTACAACTAATGAAAACCCCGCATACCACTTTCGCATACCACTATACCATACCACTCCAAAACTAATCAAAATAGGGGGAGGATGCCCCGCGCGCCTGACCCAGGCGCGAAAACGAATCTGCGAGGCGTGGCCGCTCATTGCGGCCCGGTGGGGAGGAGGGGAAGACGTAGGGCGTGCTTGCGCGCCTTTCTGAGGCCCCTCCAACCCACCCGCGCTAGGTCTCGGGGGACGACGCAGGGGTCACTCCCGCGCGACCTCGGGAACTAGCCGGGGCAGTCGGAGAAGTGGCAACTCCGTGCACTGACGGTCGGCCGTCAGAAAACACGCCTCCGTGGCTCGGGTTACACCAATCCTCGCTACCCAACGCGGCCAACGGATATCCACCTCGAGAACCTCGAGACACATACGACGGGTTGAGTCAGTTTTGTTTTAGCAGCTCGCGGCGCGGCCCTTGACATGCCAGCCAGCTCTAAAGGGCGCACGCGGGTTGGAGAGGAGGACATCGCGTGGCTGCTGTATGACTCCGGAGTACTCAAGGTCAGGCCGCCGACTGCGGAGAGATTCATGGTCCGGATGAGGCCTGGCGATGATCCTGCGGCAAGAGCCGCCGCAGAGTACCGTGTGCGCCTCGGCAGAGCTGCATCGTTGCCGAGCACGAGTGCACCGCCACCGCCACCACCGGCCGCTGCCGCCGCTCCAGCGACGACGGCCGCCATTCGCGCCGGGCCTGCAGCCCCTCCGGCCTCGTCCCCGCTGGCACCAGAGAGCAAAGCCCGCAGCAGTGGATACTACTACGCTGCGGTGCCGAAAGGCGAGTGCGTCCTGCCAGTTGCGGCTCCGGTGCCCATCTCTGGGCGAGGGCACGCGGGCAGCGCTGCAGCTGGCGCGATCCAGCGGGACCTGGAGGTGAGGGGCGCGGAGAACTCCTACTACTACGCTCACGCTCGAGCCAAGGACTACCATGTGCCGACCGTGCCACAACGCATCGCGCCGGACGGTTCACTCACGCCGTGGGAGAAAGAACCATGATAGCATGCCTCGTCGCTCGAGTACACTCGACAGTGCGCGCGGCGTCCCCCCGTCTGACGTCATTTATGTGTTTTTTTCTTTTTTATCTTCTGGTTCCACTTCCTAGGAATACATACATAATTTCGCAGTGGGGTTTTGACAAGTGGAGCTCGGACATGCTCAGCCCGAAGCGGTCGCAGAACGAGTGCTGTGACCACTCCCGCCGGCTCGCAGCCACAGGGTGCACAGTTTCAGTTAAATGAGTTATTGTTGATCCAAAAAGCAAAATCGGTACACGTGTGACAACATGGATTTCGCGTTAGTTACTAGGGGTGAGGAGCGGCGCGGTGGGCACACACACACAAATTCTCACAACAAAGATTAGCCACCTGCGCGCGCTGGTGCTCTCCCTGCACGGCTCTAGCGCACTAGCGGCAGGCCAAAAAAAGTTATTAGCGTGTGTGCCCGCTTTCGGCCTTCTCGCCGGGGGGGGGTTGGACCCAATCGGTTCACCACTCTAGCTGCGACGCGCTGTTCCGCGCGCTGTCCGTACTGACATCGCTGTTCGCCAGCCGCTCGAGAGGCAGGGGCGGTGTGCCGTACGGCACAGACCGACGGCCACCGCATCCCCGCGAGAGCTCCGGCCCCACCAAGGCTCGAGCGCTCAGCGCGGCGACCCGGCGACACCTCAGGTCAGTGTCACCTCCCCGTGCCGAGAGCGCACCGAGCGCATCGCGCCGAGTGCCTCGGCCTTGCGCACGAGTTGCTCCTTGCGTATCCGCAGCCGCTCGACCTCGGCCTGCGCGCGGCCAAGCGCCATCTCCACGTCCTCGACCTGCTCACAGCGCGAGGTGTGAAGAGACGCTGCTCACAGCTTGACTAGCGCCGTCCCCACGTCCTGCCCTCGAGATAGGGGGAGATCTTCCGCATCTAGAGCCCTCGACCGCCGCAACGCCGCCGCCGACAAGGAAGGGGCCCGACCGGCCGGGTCCGGCGGGGAAGGCGGGGTACGCGGCCGCCGTCACAACGTGAACGGGTCGCGAAGAGGGCAGGGCACCCAGCGCCCCGTCCCTCCCCGGCCCTTCCCTCCCCAGCCCTTCCCTCCCCGGCCCTTCCCTCAGCGGCTCCTCCTCGTCGTCGAGGTACGACACGCTCGGCGCGTCGAGGGACGGAGATGCAGGGACGTCGGCCGCAGGCCCCCTCCTCCGCGCGGCGGCGAGGGCGGAGAGGGACACGGAGAGCGAGGAGAAGAGGCCCGACTCCTCTGCGGGGTACGAGCCGCCTCCTGCGGGGTACGAGCCGCCTCCGGAGCCTACTGCAGCAGCGCACCAACACACCGCCGTCAGGCTTTGAGGGTCCTGCGCGGCACACGACCTCGCGTGCATGCGGCACAGCGAATCACGTGCTCACGACGCGCGCCTCCCGGAGCGTCCCCATATCTCCCCATATCTCCCCACATCTCGCGCGCCTCCCGGAGCGTCCGCGAGGTCGACATCGTCGCTCGACGCGAGGACGTACTGCCTACGCGCGACAAGGTAGTGTCTAGGAAGTGTCTAGGAGGTGTCTAGGAAGGGACGTACCGCCAACGCGCGACAGCACACGCCTCGCCTCTCAGAGGTGAGCCGCCGCCGTCCCCCCCCCCCTCGAGCACCGACACTGCGCTTGAGCTGTCTAGCAGGGAGTGTCTAGGAAGTGTCTAGGAAGTGTCTAGCCTTGTCGTGCCGGCGGTTGGGGGAGTGTCGCCCAGCGGAGACTCCACGACGCCGAGCGGCTCGCCAAACCGCCTAAGGACACGGCGGCGGGGCGAAGTGCTGCACGTCTGGACGGCGACACCGCTGAGCCTGGTCACCACCGCGCGCTCGCCCCACCCACCACCCCGGTTGGACCCACCCCGGCTGCCGGGAACTCTCCAGTGCGCGTGCGAGAGCGTTGCGGCGCGCCCAAGGTAGCCGGCGGGCTGCGGCTCGGGCTGCGAGTAGAGCGGCGCCGACAGCAGCGCGCCAAATGGGTGGGACCACGAGAGCGGCCCTCCTACGCCGAGCGTGTGCGGCGTCAGTGCCGAACCCCGCCGGCTCGCCCCGAGGCTTGCGTGGGCGGCCCGAGTCGGCGGCGGCCAGAGCACACAGCGCTGCGAGGAGGACCAACGAGGCGAAAAGGCCAACTCTGCGCAGCAAGATGGGCGCGAGGCGAAGCACGTTTCCAAACGAGCCAGTCGTTCGCGGCCGTGGCTGGCGGGCCGCGTCCTGCGCGACCTCGGCCCGCCTCGCGAGCGTCTCGTTTGGGAAAATCTGCATGAGGAGTCGTGCAAGGAGGCGATTGACCTGCAGCCGCTGATGCGCGGGCTGGCGGCAAACGGGACACGCGGAGGTCCGCCGGAGCGCCGCCCGGACGCAGGAGCAGCAGAACGTGTGTCCGCACTGCAGCGAGGTTGGCTCGTGCAGGATGGAGAGGCAGATGGCGCAGGTGACGTCCTCCATGATAACGTGGTCTTCAAGCACGGCGTTCTCGACGTCCGCGACGGAAGGTGGCTTGCGCAGGGGGGCCAGGGTGGCAAACGGAGGTGGAGATCGCATCACACCACACACAACCACCGCGTCGGACGGAGCAACTTCAATGACAGATGATGGCGAAGTATTTTTTCTCTCTGGCCTACGGGACTACCGCGTTTTCTACATGTACTAAGCTAACCTAACGGGACTCTCTAACGCCGCGCCTGGAGAACACACCTCCCTCTCCCTTTTCAATCCTGTGAAGCTAAAGATACGACGACAGCGGACAGGGAAGCGCCGCAAACCCGCATCGTAAAAAACAAGGTCATGGAGAGAGGAGACATCTCCCAAGCGCCGCGTCAGCGCGGCAGAATTTTTCTCCCATCAATTTTTCTTCCTTCGATGAGAAATTCTGCCCCACCCACTCTGCTACCTACCTGTCGCGCTGTGGGAGAGAGAGATTTTTAGCAATACCAAATAACTCTAACACTCACAGATCGTTTGTTGCTGTGTGCGAGAAGAGCCGTCGCTGCGCGGAGGTCACGTGAAGAGTGGGTCGCTTATTCGTTCGACCGCTTTCTTTATTTGGCCTGCATATACTTTTCCGGAAAACAAAAAGGAAAACAGAGGGTCCCCAGCACTTTGCGTTTCCGGAAATTTCCAGGGGAAACAGAGGGTGTTTGGTGCTCCATTCTGGAAAGTCGCGAGTTTCCCTGAGTCTGAGAGCTGGTAGTCTGGGGCAAAATCTGAGGCAAAATTGAGGAAATCGGCACGATACCCAGCCAGGCGGTCGCAGGGTATTTTCCAGGTATACCCGGGGTTTTCCAGGTATACCCGCAAAATACCCGGTATTTCGCCGATTTGGCTGATTTTGGGCCGGCCCCAAACCAGCCTCAGACTCGGCTCAGAGCCCGGAAAATTTGATGGTTTCCCCGGGAAAATAGAGAGGAAAAGAGAGGGTGCTGTAGAGAAAAAAGGAAAGGAAAAGAGACGGGGTGCGAGAGGAAAAGTAAGTATATTCAGCCTAATTCTTTATGCGCAAAACTACAACTCTAACACTCACACATCATCTCAAAACCAGGTGCATGCCACCCTCCAGACGACAAACAACCGGCGAAACGCTCTCGTGAGCCAGCCACTTTTGAGAGAGAGAGATTTTTAGAATTCTCTTCTCCTTCCGCTTTCATCTCTCTCTTCCGCTTTTGCGGCAGCCGACCGCGGAGGTCGAGCGCGCCGCGTGCGCGGAGATCGACATGGCGAGCGACCGTCAAGCGTTCCTATTCTTATATTGTGTGTGTGCCAGTCCGCGCCAGTCCGCGCCCTTGTCGTGCCAGCGTCCAGCTTTTCTTACTCTATATCCCGACTCACGACGCGACGGATTTGCGACTGGACACGTCCGCTCGCGAACAAACAACCGCGCGGCGAAACGCTCTCGTGAGCCAGCCGCTTTTGCGGCAGCCGGCACGCGCGACCGGATGAGCCTCCTCGGCGATGCGCCTTCAACATCCAAGCGCGAAGCGACGGCGGCGGAGCTGCTGCACGCGAGTCTCATGGCGTATTTGCTCGGCACCGCTGACGAGAAGAGCCCGCTCTCTGTCCTCTCGGGTCACTCCGATGTGCTTCGGCTCATCTGGCACGTGGTCAACAACGCTTGGAAGCGTGAGCAGATGATGACTGCGCTGCAAGCCCAGGAAGAGAAAAAGCTCGTCGCCTTTGCGCATGTGGACAACGTGACGTTCCCAAAATCGATCAATGTGAACATGATGCCATTCATCCTCGGCGACAAGAAGAGTCTGCCCCCGGAGCTGCACGCCTACTGGCCCATGATCGCCAAGTGCACGTCGACGCTGCACAGGTCCGACGGGAAGGCGTCGCCCAAGGATCGCGTCGGCTATCTCACCGTGCACGAGAGCAGCGTCGTGCAAGAGGGTGCGTCGCAGCGGCGGCCCGGGCTGCACACAGAGGGCTTCAACCGCGACGTGTGCGACAGTGGCAAGGTGCACACGCTGCCGCGGTGGCACCCGTGGGGCTTTGGGCACGCCATGCGCCACGGCCAGTTTGAGGGCGGCCTCTTCATGGCGTCGAACGTGTCCGACAGCTGCCACATCTACAACGCGATTGTGCCGACGGAGCTGGTGGGTCGCGGCGGCGACGTCGAGCCGCTGCGGCCCTGCCTGAACGAGCGCTTCCCCAGCGCGCCCAAGCCGCGCACGTGCTGGCCGGCGGACGACGAGAGGTACGGCAGTCACGCGGGCTGCGCGCGCTGCGATATGCACTTGGAGGGTGACGACATCTTCGACCAGCGGCGCGTGACGGGACCGATCGCGCTGCGCGCGGGCGAGCTCGTGTGGTTCACCGACCGCACGCCGCACGAGAGCCGTCCGCTACGGACGGGACAGCCGCGCCAGTTCTTCCGCCTGGTCACCGGTGGCGTGGATACCTGGTACGCCGCCCACTCGACGCCCAACCCGCTCGGCACCCAGCCAGACGCCGCGGTCGTGCACTACGACAAGTTCACCGGCGAGCCCGCGGCGGCCCTCGTCGAGGCAGCGCCGACGCGGCACGCCCGCGGCGCGGCGTCGTCGTGTGCCGGCAGGCCCTCGCTGCGCCAGCTGGCGGCCGCGCTGGCTAAGGAGTGCCAGGTGTGACGTGAGGGATGCGCGCAGCGCTCAGTTTCGGCGGGTCAAGGGGTGGAAATTCTGGAATGTGGAAAAAGCAGCCGAGTGTCTGACGGTGTCCCAACAAAACATCGAGTGACGCACTAGTGTTCACTATACACAGAGTAACGGTGAACAGAGAGGGCGGCGGACACCACACCTCGCGCCTCACCAGCGCCTCACTCGGGCGGCGGCGGCGCGGAGAAGGGCTGCACAAACTCGGCCCGCCGGTGCGCCCCGAGGCAGGCGGTGCTGCAGTAGCGGTACGAGAACTTCTCGAAGTAGACCCGGTCCTCCGGCAGCGCCTCCGCCTCGTTGACCGCCTCGACGTAGCCGCGGTGGCAAGCGTCGCAGCTCCAGTGCCGCACGGTGCGCTCCGGCGGCGGTGGCGGCGTCCAGTAGCACAGGAGAGCGGCCGCGTTCGAGGTGGTGATCCTCTCCTCGTCCGCCGCGCTCAGCCCATGCCGGCGCGCACGCGGCAGGAAGGCGCGCTGCAGGAAGCCAAAGCCGCCGCCGCCGCACGACGCGAGCTGCAGCCGCGACGATACCCCGAGCGAGAGGAGGAGGCGGTCGGCGTACCTGAGAGAGCGTCGTCGACGTGCTGTGGACGTGTCGCCGCCAAACAAGAGGGCGAGCAGGCCGGCGGGCGAAGGAAAGAGCGGGGCCCTCGACGCCTCTGTCCGGCCCTTCGAGGGGGGGAAGGGAATTGCGGGGTCCCCACGGGCGCCTCTCTTCGGCCCTCCCGAGGGGGGGAGGGGAGCAAGGGGGTGGGGGGATCGGGGCGGTGGGTGGTGCCCACCCTTCTGCGCACAGCCTGGCCAGCGCTGCGGCGAGTCCTTCGTCCGACGGAGGGCAAAGCCAGGGGTGGTCCGACGCACACGCGCCCGGCACGGACCAGCCCATCCCTGCACCGGTGAAGCAGAGCCGCGCGCCTGCGTACCATACCCCCAGAGTCTCGAATCCAGTGTGGGTTCAGTCCCGTGGGTGGTGCGGTAGCAGAGCCGCGCTCCTGCTCTGTGAGCGGCCGCGTGAGGGTGGGAACGCGGTGGGTCGTGCAGCGAACACGATGCGGCCGATTGCAGTCGAACACGCCTCGTCTCGAGCGCTGGTTGGAAGCCACCCGTGGGTCCCTTTCCGCATCTAGCGCCGCGCACCGGTGGCGAGCAGGGCGCGCAGCGCAGCCGGCGCGCCGAGCAGGGTCTGCGCGTGGGCGACGACCACGCGACGCATATCGACGCCGGCGGCGGAGAGCGCGTCGAGAGACGCGACCGCCGCCGCGCCTGACGATTCTGCGGCGTCGGCGCTGGCAGCGCCTCCCGCCGGCAGCGAGCAGAACAGCGGCGCGCCAGACCGCACGTGCGCCGCCGCTAGCACCTCGAGCAGCCTCGCGTGCCCAGGTGTGAGCGGCAGCACCCCCAGCGCGCCAGCGCGCACCGCTGCTCCGCCCGACCCATCCTCCTCCCCCTCGAGGAGCGAGCGGAGCAGCGAGTCGAGCGCCGGGTCCTCCGCCTCGTCGTCTGGCGGCGGCGGCGGCAGCTCGCGCGCCGACGCCCAGCCAACCGTCATAATCACCCGCAGCTTGGTCCTTCTGCAGAGACTGGCCAGGCAGGAGGCGCTGCAGGCGCCGCCGGCGCCGGGCACGCTCGCCGAGACGATGGCCCGGCCACCGACGCGAGCGAACGCCTCGACCTCCGCGGCGGCCACGTCCTCCTGCGGGCCGGTGAGGTTGGCGAGGTTGACGAGCGGCTTTTCGCGCACGGCGGACAGCGTCTGCAGCGTGATTGGCGCATCGCGCAGCGCTGCCTCCTCTACGTCGGAAGGCGGCCGGTGCCTCGACTGCATGCTCCACGCGACGACGTGCTCAAAGGGCAGGGTGGAGCCGAGTTCCGCGGCGGAGCACGGCCCGGTGACAGTGACGGCTTGCAGCTCCGCGGCCTGCGGCTCCGCCTGCATAGTGTGCGCCGGTCCTACCACGCCCTTCTCGTGCCAGCGGTGCTGAGAGAGGCTTGGGAGCTGTGAGCTGTGAGGTAGGTCGCAGCCTTCCGCGCAACCCACCTCGAGACCATCCCCCGCCTGCTGGCGGTTAGGACCATACCCCCCACCACGGGCCGTGAGAGTACCATGCCCGCAAAAAGTTGGAACCCAGGGTCGTGCAAAGATTTGCTGCTGCGACTCATTTGGGTTCCAATATCCTGCTCGTGCGGACGACAAAAAGAAAACAAGTTGCTAAGCCGATCCCTCCCTTGGGGTTGTCTGTTTCGCTTGTCGCCCTCAAACGCCACTCCCTGCCCAAGCCGGTCGCCCTTAGATGCCCTTGCCCGCGCCGGACGTCCCGGCCATGCCGCGCGTCGGCGCGCTGGCGACTAGCGCGCGAGCACGCGCCAGTCGGCTCCTCGGCTCGCGCAGCGGAGCATTCTTCGGACCCGCAGCTTTTCCTCTGCTGCCATCAACATAAGTGCCGGGGTAGCCCCGGGGGTGCGCGTTCGCAGGGAAAGGGCCTTAAAGTAAACACGGGTCTCCGAGGGTTGGCTCCGCGCTCCGGGTTTCCCCTAGCAGCAGACCGCCCCCTCTACTCGGAGCTATAATGAACACCAGACATGAACACGACACGCACTCTCACACGACGTCACCGCTCCCTTCGCTACAGTTGTTTTTCTTACAGAGTTGCTTTGTCTATTCGGTCTTCGCCGGGCCGGCTCATGGGCGTTTGTCTCCTCCTGCTTCTGATAGCTCCGGCCAATGCATTTGGCCGCCGCGCCCTCCTCGCTGCGGCAGGCGCGAATGCATTCTCTGCCACTAGCGCGAGCGCAGGTGACTACCTCAAGGTGTCCTGCACTCGCGATGACGACGCGTGCCTCTCGGCAAAACGAGCGGGAGCAAAGGCCGCCTTCGAGAACCTCAAGCCTCTGCCGCTCGCTGAATACAAGCGCTTGGGTGCGACCGCCATCTCCGCCCTCCGCGACCCGTCAGTCAAGATATCAGCCGACGAGAAGCCCGAGCTGAGGTCTTCTCTGTTCGGCGACTCGTACCTCACGATGCAATGCGAGAGTGGTGACAAAGCCTGTGCCGCGAAGCGACGGGAGAGAGCCAGTGGCGCGCGATAGCCAGACTAGCGCGGCCGCCCCATAAGTAAGGACGACTTTAAGTACGCAGCCACTATCATCTGCGTTAAAACTCCGGTGTCAACAAAAAAGGCGTGGGTTGGGTTAACGTACTTTAATAAACAAAGCGGCCTTTGGCCCATCTGTGCACGCGAGGGACAAAGGGCCCTGCCCGGTTGATGCTGCTCTCGTTACGCCATCCGGCTTCGCGCGACCACACCACCGCCGGGAGGGCTGCTGGTACGAGGATGGGCCCTCTCCCACGCAGGTTCTGGTCGTTGCCGTGCGGGCAGAAGCGAAGTCCCGCCGCGTGCATCGCGCAGAAGAGGACGTTCTCGGAGAAGGCCACCGGGTGAAAGCGACAGGTGGTGGTGAGGTTGCGGAGCCGCTGCTGGCAGGGGAGGAGCCCGCCGCCGCCCACCACCAGCCGGTCGAAGCGGTTGCCGCGAAGCTCCTCGAGCATATCGCGGAGCGCTGCCGCGGGCGCGCTCCAGAGGCAAAAGTCCGTGCTCTTGAGCCGGCACGCTGTGCAGGTGCTCACCCCGCCGCGGGATTTCACCTTGCCCCTCTGGTGCTCGTCGGCGGCGTGGCGCACGTTGCCCCACCCGTTGGGGGATAGGAAGAGCGGCTTGTCGTATCCCTTCTTGAACCAGCGGTAGCTGCCCAGATCAAGTCGGATGCGGACCGCCGCACTGTACTCGACGCCCGTCTGCTCCTCGTGGCGCGACATCAGGTCGAGTCCGCCCAGCATGCTCGCCGTGTTCATCCGGATCTTGAAGAGGCTCTCGTTGAGGACTCCCCATGACCGCAGCCGCGGGTCCTCGTCGTGCTCCTCCGCCCGCTGGGTCTCCACCGTGACGGCCGTCGGCGCCAGCTTTCGCGACACCACGTCCAGGCACTCTCGCGAGGAGAGGCGCCGTGGTTGAGAGGACGCCGTGTCGAGCAGGCTCCACGTGTGGATGAAGACGTGGCACTCCTCAAACACCTGGCGGCACATCACCGTCTGGTTGAGGAGCTGCAGGCCCGCCTGGTATCAGAAAGGTGGCGTCAGATGCATGGTCTTCTTCATTCAGAGATACGAGAGCTCTTCAGGAGCCTGGAAGGCGTCCCGGCGGCAGGTGTCGCGAAGGTGGCCGCTAAAAACGAGTGCCGCGACCGGGCCTCGCAAAGCTTGCTCGCTGTGCTCATTTTTGGAATTCGGAAGGCCCTGAATGCGACAGGGCGGGCACTGAAGCGGCATGAGCTGTCGAGTGAAGGGCAGGGGTGAGACTTGTGGGACGCACGTCAAAAAAGAGGGAAATAAAAGTGCTCCAAATAAGGTGCCCCTTCGGGTTCTGCGAATCCCCAGGGCCTCCAGGGCTCGCACCTCAACCTCTCATAGACCAGCGAGAGGCTTAGAACTTAGGGTTCTACCCTGTTGCGCTTCGACCAACTAGGCCACCTTTTGCGCAAAATGATTTGTTAGAACCACTAGGCCTTTTGCCAAAAGGCGGCCTAGTTGGTGGCCTAGTTGGTCGAAGCGCCGACCTTTAGGCCAAAACTTAGATATTCTTATCTTTTTGCCCCCCTCCGAGACTGGAGACAGAACCCCAGAGATACATACTTCAAAGGGACTGCCCCCCGCCCCCGCTTGCCCTGCCTGCGCAGGATAGCGTGCCCCGATAACGGCGACACTTAGCGAGGGTCACTGCGCAAGGAGAGGGTGCGAAGCCTTTTCTTTTTTGTCCTCTCGGGGGAATGTTATCGGACGGGATTCGGGATGGGGTGCGGCAGTACGTGACAGGTGAGAAGGTGGCGCCGCTCTCGCGGCGCGACGTCTACATCCTGTTGCGCGTCGCCGACCGCGTGTGGTGGAGCTGGAACTACTTCGGGTTCAACGAGTTCGACCCCGAGGGTGACCGCTTCTACCGCCACGTGCGCGATTGGCTTCGCATGGAGACGGATGACGGTGCCCCGCACTGGGTGCACTCGCTCCGCGCCGTGCAAGCCGAGCAGGACAGCGAGTACTCGTCCGACGAGGAACGAGGCACGTCCGACCAGGACGACCGCGGGCCCGCGTACGAGTCCGACGACGACGATGGTTACGACCGCATCGCAAACGACGACCTCGATGCGCTCATGCGCTGCTTTGACGACAAAGATGCCGCGCTTATCGCGCTCGCGCGTCACCTCGAGTCTCTTCCCCACTGCTTGCCAGGACGCAGGAGAGGTGACTTGGGCCACCAAGAATTGGCCGGGCTGCAGAAGCAGCGTATCTACATGCGCGAGACACAATCTCAGTCGTTCACACACACGAAAGAGAATCTCACACACGGGTCACGGCCATCGCACAGCCTAAATCCCATCTCGTCTCAGAGTTTGACCGTTTTATTTATTTATTTATTTATCGCACAGCAGATTGTGAATCCCGAAGTCCGCGCAACGATTAGCTTGGCTGTGAAGATTCTTATTTCTGCCCCGCGGATTTCTTTCTTCGTGTTAGAGCCAAAAAAAGAAAGAAAATGGAGACCCCAGGGATGGGAGGACGGCACGCCGCCACCACACAGGGATTTTAAGGAGAGGGGTGGTGATGCGCTAGCCGTCGCCCACCCTAGGGCGTCCGCCTCTTCCTATCTCTCTTCGCAGTCTCTCGCCGATTCTCGCTGCAACCTTCATGCCACCTCGCGGTCGTCCCACTCTCGTCGTTCTCTCTCTTGTCGCTTCTTCCTCTGTCGCGTCGCTCTCCTCTGCCTCGTTCTGCGACGGCGCCGCCGCCTGCCGCTCCCTTGCTCTCGCTGCTTCTCTCGCCTTTCGTCGCAGCTCTGCCCTCCTCGCGGCATATTTTGGCCCCTCGAGTTTATCGAGCTCTCCTCGCGCAAGGACGACTCTTCTGACGCCCACTCGGATCATTCATTTGTCGCCAAGTCATATCGTTGCTCAGGTCCACTCTCTCTTCTACCGACCGCGTCGAACTCATCGGCGCGGGCTCTCTCGGCTACGGGACCGGCCCCAGCTTCGGCTGAGGGCTAACAAGCTGCCGAGCCCAAATCACTGTGAGAGTCGTGATTTCTTGTTGGTTAATAAAAATCTCTCTCTCTCTTCGAACACTTGTACCTCCACGGATGATGCTGGCGCTGGGGTCTCCTTCGGGTGTATCGTGACAGCTGACGACGGGATATTACCACAGGTGTTTCATCCTCCTCGGGTTCGTCTTCCCCGGCTTCCTGCCGTTCCACCTCGAGACCTCGAGACCTCGAGACACGAAGGCTTTCAAAGCGGCGCCCTTCAGCCCACCTCGCACGCGAGACCCCGTCGTTCACTTCGCACGCGCGACCGAAGCCGTCATGGCGAGCGAGGCCATCCAAGTCGTCGTCCGGGTTCGCCCCCCCAATAACAAGGAGAAGAGCGAGGGCACCCTTCCCATCGTGACCACCTCGACCGAGCGGCAAGAGGTCTGCCTCATCCGCGGCACTGGCCATCGCGCTCAGAGGAACATCTTCAAATTCCAGAATGTCTTCGGCTCGTTTAGCACCCAGCAGGTGCGTGCAGCTCATGACCGGACCTGAGAAAGCGTGAGACATCCAAGTCGCCCGTTCCTTCTCAGGATGTGTTCGACAGCACCATGCTGCCGATCCTCGGCGACGTGCTACGCGGCTATGAGTCCACTCTCTTTGCGTACGGCCAAACCGGCACGGGCAAGACGCACACGATCGAGGGCCGGATCGACATCCCCGAGGAGATGGGCATCATCCCGCGCGCCGCCGAGCACATTTTCACCGCGCTGCAGGGCGAGCACGTTCTGGAGAGCACCTGCACCGTCTCGTATCTCGAGATCTACAACGAGGTGCGGCGCAGCGTGGAGATGGCGCTCTGTCGCTGACCTGAGCACTGCACCACACCAGATACCCGTCACCCTACCGGACACCCGCCCTCCCGTGTCGTTCTCATGCACATCTCTTGCTTATGGGGTGGCAGAGGAGGATGCTCGCACCTGTCCGCTTGCCGTCCGCTGCCAGCCCTCCACCTCTTGGTGTATCGCTCTACGCCGCCCTGGCGCCACCGCTCCTCTCACCAAGTGCCGCCCTGGTCCAGGTGCTTCACGATCTCCTCTCGCCAGCGGACGAGCCTGGCGCGAAGCTCGCCATCGTCGATGACAGCAAGCAGGGCAAGGGCGTCCACTGCGCCGGTTTGCTCACGCACGAGGTCAACACCCCCGAGGACGTGCTTCGCATCCTGCGTGCAGCCCAAGACCGCCGCAAGATCGGAGAGGTGCGGGGCGAGGGGCGATCGGGAGCGGGCAAGGAGTGGACGGAAAAGAAGCCGGTGGGCGAGGGGCGTGCGGGAGGGGAGTGGGCGGGAGACGAGTGGGCGGGAGACGAGTGGGCAGGTGGCATCTTGCTCCCATGAAGCCTCTTCTCGCCCCCTCCTCAGACCAAGATGAACAAGGAGTCGTCCCGCTCGCACTGCCTCTTCACGCTGACCGTCAACCTGCGCGAGAAGACGCCCGATGGGATGGAGATTGCGCGCGTGGGCAAGCTACACATGGTCGACTTGGCGGGCAGCGAGTGTGCCAAGACCTCGGGCGTGGGGGCGCAGGACCGCACGCGCATGCGCGAGGCGATGAACATCAACCAGTCCCTGCTGACGCTGGGTCGCGTCATCACGTCGCTGCGCGAGAAGCAGGGCCGCATCCCGTACCGCGACTCCAAGCTGACTCGCCTGCTGCAGGCGCGACGCTGCCCGGAGTTGGTGCTTCCTCTCAGGCAGGGGTGGGCTCCATAGCGGAGGCAGGCAGCCGCTCCGCGTGGCATTCCCCAAGCCCGGGTCCCAGAGCCCCTAAGCTGGCCTCCCACGCCCCCCCCCCCCCCCCCCCACACCACCACCTCCCTCTGCAGGAGAGCCTCGGCGGGCGCTGCAAGACCTGCATCATCGCGACGCTCTCTCCCTCCATCCTCTGCTGCGAAGAGTCGCTCTCCACGCTCAACTACGCGCAGAGCGCCCACGGCATCGAGAACAAGCCGGTGGCCTCGCAGCGGATGATCACCACCCCGCGGGACCGAGGCGCGGGCGGGCCCAACATGGAGGCGACGAGGCTCAACTGCGGCGTCGGCGCGGACTCTTTCGTCGAGATGGAGTGCCGATTGCAGTACATGGAGGCGCAGGTGGAGGAGGCGCAGAGCGCTCTCGCCCGCAAGCACACCACTGAGCAGGCGGCGGTGCAGCGCGCGGAGACGGTGGAGAAGGATCTGGACAGCACGCGGGAAGCGCTGCAGGTCGGCCCTGATCAGATGGGCGCTCCGAGCCGTTTCACCTCCTGCTCCGCCACATGTCCCTCACTCACCCCCTCCGCTGGCACCGCCTCCGCCCCCCCATCCCTTCCACCCCCTCCCTCTTCATGATGGCCTCCAGTCAGCCTCTCGCCACCTTCCTCTGACACCCTCTCTCCACCTTGCTCCCCCACTCCCTCATTCCTCCATCGCCCTCGCCCCAGGAGTCCCAAGTCTCGCTCAGCCTCGCCAAGGAGGAGAAGGAGCAAGTCTCGGGCGAGCTGACGGCCACCAGGTGTACGCCACTTGCCCCGAGCCGAACCCGCCGCCCCTGAGTCTGCCCTCCGGCAATCGCGACTGTATCACCATCAACCCAGCAAACCCGCGACCGCGGCTACACCCCTCACCCCCGCCCTCCCCCCACCCCATTTGGACCCGGATCCCTTGCCTCCTGCTCTTCCTTCCAGGTGCACGCTCTCCCAGCGCGAGGCTGTGCTCAACGCCACGCGCGAGAGCCAGCAGGCCTTGCTCCACGAGAGCGTCGGCGTGATGCGCGACCTGGAGGACAGCCTCGGCCAGGGCGACAAGATGCACGAGCGGCTGCAGCAGCTGAGCGCCGAGGAGGGCACCCGGCGCGCCGCCGCTTCGGAGCACGCCGCGGCCACCGCCGCACTGCTGGGCAAGGCGCGGGAGTCCATCGTCGACCACGCCGCGCGGCAGGCCGCCCTGCGCGCGAGCATCGCGGAGGCCGCGGCCGCGACGCGCGATCATGGGGTGGCCAAGCTGATGGAGCTGCAGGCCCTCGCGGCCAGCCTCGGAGGAGCGATCACCGCCGGAGCGGGCGAGGTGGGCGCCGCCCACACGGCGCAGGGCGAAGCGGCTCGCGGGCGGCGCGAAGCCTCGCACGCGGCAGAGGGCCAGGCCGGCGTCGCCTTGGGCGAGCTGGTCGCCGCGGCAGTGGCGGAGATTGGCGCGGGGCTCACGCGCCTCGCGGGCGCTGCCGAGAGCGCGGAGGCCGCCGCCACCGCGTGGACCAGCGAGGCGCTCGCTGCGGTGGCGGCCGCCCGGATGCAGAGCGACCTGCTGCAGGCGGAGCTGCAGGAGAAGCTGTCCACGAGCGCCGCTGCCGCGGCGGCTGGGCTGCGCGGGGAGGAGGCTGCGCGGGGCGAGGAGCGGACTCAGCTGCAAGGCGCGGCGGCGATGCTGCGCCGCCAGCGCGCAAGTGAGGAGTCCCTCGGAGCCACGCTCGACGCCGCCGCGGCGGAGCGCGCCGAGCATGAGACTGCCCAGGCGGCGGCGCTCAACGCGCAGGTCCGCGGGCTGTCGGTTGCGCAGGCGGCAGGCGCCGACGCACAGGCCGCTGAGAGGGCGGCGGTGGCGGCTGAGCTCGACGCTGTGGGTGCCGAGGCGGCGGGCGGCTGCGCGGACGCACGGGAGCGCCTCGCTGTGCAATCTGCTGCGCTTCGCTCCGCCGTCGGCGCACACCGTGAGGGGGCGGAGAAGCAGGCCCTGAGCCAGCACACCGCGCTGCTCACAACCACCGTGGCCGCAGTCTCCGCCGTCGACCACGGCATCGTCCCCGTCGCCGCCGCCGCGCACGCGGCCCGGCGCGAGGCGCTCAACGCCGTGGCGGCCGAGCAGGCGCGCGGCAACGCCGAGGACACGGCCAAGGCTCAGCTCGATGCCCTCGAGCAGCAGCGACACCTCGCGAGCGAAGACGTGCTCAAGCGCTGCGCGGATGCGCAGCAGGCGCTGACTGGCGCGGTGGAGCGGTTGCGGGCGACCAAGCAGGCAGAGGGCTCGCTGCGCGACCACCTCGCGAGCGCGCGGGCGGGCGTTGCGGCGGCTGCCGCGGCGCAGGAGGCGGAGCTGCAGGCGAGCGTGTGCGACGCGCTGACCGAGGCGATGCAGACGGCGGACGCGGCGGCGGCCGCAGAGCGCGCTGAGCAGGCAAAGGCCATGGCGTCGGCCACAGCCGCCGTGACGGGCGGCGTGGACGCTGAGTGTGAGCGGCTCGCAGCGCAGTGTGCCATCATGGAGGAGACCCTCTCTGGACACCGACGCGACGGCGAGAGCGCAGCGGAGGCGGCGCAGAAGGCGGCGATCGGCGCGGCCGACGCTTCGGTAGAGGCGGGCATCCAGGCGCAGCTTGCGGCGTCCGCGGCGACGGAGGCGGCGCTGCGCTCCACTGTCGACGAGTTCAAGGCGGGCCGCGCGGCGGCGATGGAGGCGATGATGGCCGGAGTGAAGGCGATGCTCGCCGAGCAGCTCGCTGGGCTCGAGGGGTCGCTCGACAGCCGTGTGGCGGGCCTGCTCCAGCAGCAGGCCGAGGCGAGCGCCCAGAGCCGCGCGCTGCGTGAAGAGGTGAAGGCCAAGCACGTGGCGGCGGGCGAGGTCGCCGCCGGCTGGGGCGAGTCGAACCGGCTCGTCTCGGCCGCCCTCGAAAGGACCATCCAGAGCGATGGCGAGGGGCAGGCGGCGCTGCGGGCCGCCGAGGCCCGCTACCGTGCGTCCGCCGAGACGGCGGCCGAACACGCCTCCGCATGGGCCGCCAGTGGCGACGCGGCCGCGGCCAAGGCGCGCGACGCGGCGAGCAGCGCAGCCGGCGTGATCGGGCTGGTTCGCGAGGCGGCGGCCGGATATGAAGCGCTGGCGGCCAAGGAGGAGGGCTGCGTTGACGAGTGGTCTCGTCAGGGCGAGGGCGTCTCGGGCGAGATTGACGCTCAGATCTCGGCCTGCGCGTCGCTCGAAGGCGTGGCCGGTGCCGCGACGGCCGAGGCGGCCGCGGGGCTGGTGGCCATGCAGGAGGTGTGCGCGGGCTGGGGCGAGAGCAGCCGGGCGGTCTCGGCCGCCATCGCGCGCGAGATCGCCACCGACGAGGAGGTCGAGCAAGCCATGGTCGCCGCCGAGGCGCGCTTCTCCACCGCCGCGGCCGCCGTCGGCGAGCAGGCGGCTGCGTGGTCGGCGAGCGGCGAGGCGGCGAGCGCTGCCATGGACGCCGCCGCGGCTCAGTCGGACGATGTCGCCGCACGCGAGGCCGTCGTGCTGACGCGCGTCGAAAGCCATGTTGCCGCGGCCGGCGGTGCAGCCACCCGCTGGGCCGAAGCCGGCGATGCGACGCACGCGGCGCTCTCCACCGCGATGGATGGCGCCACGACGATCATGAGCAGCGCGGCCGTGTGCCAGGCGGCGGCCGTGCAGAAGGCCCAATCGGCGGGCGCGGGGCTGGCGGCCATCTGCGCAGAGAGCGAGGCGCTGCAGGCGTGGGAGCAGGCCGCCACGCGCGAAAACGACGCGGCAGAGGCCCGCCTCCAGGGCCTGCTCGAGGCGGCGGCTGCAGCGGACGCGAGCGTGGCCGACGCGGTGGATCACTGGGGCGCGCACTGCACGGCGGCAGCCTCTCAGTGCGAGGCTGCCGTGAGCGCCATCCCGGCGCTCGCGGCCGAGGCCGCCTCGACGGCCGGTGCCGAGGCCGCGCAACAGAGTCACAACGTCGCCGAGCTCGAGAGGGCAGTGGTCGCCGAGACACAGGCGGCCGCGGCGCGGCGCGCCGCCGCCGCCGACGTGGAGGCCGCAGAGTGGGGCGCCGCCGAGGCTGCGCTCTCGGAGCGGTGCGAGGCGCTGCGCGCGCGCGCCGCCGAGGGCGAAGCTGCCTCCGCGAGCACCGCCGCCGCCGCCTCATCCGCGCTGCGCGAGTGGGGCGAGGCGCTGACAGCCACGCAGGAGGAGCAGCGGGGCGAGGAGGAGCGGCACGGGGAGGCGGCGGGCAGCTCGCTCGAGGGCGCCTCGTCGGCCGTCGCCACCTTCTGCACCGACGTGCTGCACGCTGCCGAGGCGGTGCCCCCGGAGGAGGCCCGCGAGGCGCGCCCGGAGCGGAGCGAGGAGAAGCTGCGCGCCCTCTGCCTCACCACCGAGCAGGAGCGTGCCCTCGAGGCCTCCGCCGTAGCCTCCGCCGCCTCCGGTGCTGCCGGCGCCGCAACGCCGCAACGCCGGCGCGCTGCGGGCGGCGACGGCGAGGCGGGCATCGAGAACGTGCCGCTGCCGAGCGCATCCGAGAACAGCTCCGTCTCGCGCCTCCCGACCGCGTCGCGGAGCATTCGCGCCAAGGCCCGCGCCCTCGCCGCCATCCCCGGCGCCTCCCCACTGAGGCAGCTGTCCAACCTGAGCTGAGCCGACCGCCGAGGCCGGGCTGCGATCGCCGGCGCCCTATTCTCTGCCAGACCGGGCTGCTGAGTATCGAAAGCCGAGCCGCCAGCCGGTGCGGGTGTGCCTGTTGAAGAGAGGATCCGCATCAGGCTGTGCTTTCTCGAGCATGCGAGACACAGACCAAGTGAGTACGTTGCCCGCCGCTGTGGCAGAGGCGCATTCCATGCAGCATGTGTAGACTGGCTGGACGCCACCTTCCGCCAGGGCTGGTGCGTTAACGTTAACACGGTGTTCAAAAACGTTAACGGTTAACACACCATCACAGCCGTAGATGTGTTCTCAAACGTGTTAACACCGCCCCTCGGGAGGTGTTATGTGTTAACCCGCCGTCCGTAACCGTAAGGGGGCGCGAGCAACGCGTTTCTCCAAAAGCAGCGTGTTTCCCCGGAGCGTTGCCACCGACGCGCCACTGCGGCGAACGTTTCTGAGGCTGACCGCAGCACGATGTCGAACGATGTGAACCGCAGCAAAACTGACCCCAGGGATTCCTGCTCGGGGCTATAACGGAACTGATCGTGAAAACTCCCTACACTAAGTGGTTTCGTCGC